ATAACAAAGAGTGAAAAATTGAAGGGGGTCTGAATACTTTCCGTACCCACTGTATATATATATTAATTCATTCATTCAGTTAATGTATTGTATTTAGTTAGTTTGATTGATAATAAAACCTGCTACAACATTTAAAACAACAACAATAATATATTTTCAATATTGTGGATTTTTTATTTAATGTTTTGCTCAATATTGATTTATCACTCAGCCCTAATTTGTTATTTGTTTTTATTGTGATATATATATATATATATATATATATATATATAAAAAATATATCAAGAAATTAAGTAAACTTAAATATATAATTGAATATATTTATTCATAATAATAAAGTAATTACAATATTGAAAATAATTATAATATTAAATTTAATAAATGCATTTCAACATCTATTTACAATTAGATGTTGAAATTAGTTTCTTTATTGTATTGTTTGAACATTGTTAAAATTGCTATATTTTTCAGTGTTTGTTATTGTTTCACAGAAAAAAGTCTCAGTCCTGGTTAAGCACCGGCTGGTTTACCATGGTCATCGCCATAGAGATGTGTGACAACATAAAGGTTTATGGGATGGTGCCGCCAAACCATTGTGGGTAAGATGAAATAATATTACCTGAAAAAGTGCAGCTTCACTCTAATGTTGATTGGGCAACAGTAAATTTTATCATACCTAAGAATGAATCAATATAGTCCCTGAAATGCATTTCCTGTAGGAAGCGTCCTCAGCCCAAACGGTTGCCCTATCACTATTACAAACCAGAGGTCCAGATGAGTGTGTGATGTACCTCCAGAACGAGAGGGGGCGCCGCGGATCACACCACCGCTCCATCACTGAGAAACAGGTGTTTGCATGCTGGGCCAAGCAGTACAACATCAGCTGCAGCCACCCGACCTGGTGAGGAAACCGTCCATCTGCCTGGTGCGCTGGAGCCAACATGGCGGCTTTCTGTAACTCTGTGATGTTTGAATTTTCAAATGCATTGCCTGCTCTGAAACCGATCCGGAATGGCTGCTGGTCTCTCTTTGATCTGGATTAGTGACTGAGCCGAAACAGAGGCCATGCAGGGATCCAGGACCAAGCTAATCTTAGTTTTCCTTAGGAAAATGAACAGGTGATGGAACGCTTATTGTCTGAAGCATGACGGTTTCAAAAACATCTCCATATTACTGCCGTGAAGTTTTCCTAAGCCTTCTCTTACAGTGTTTCTCACCCATAATCGGTCATTTGTCGGAGAACGGAGAATGAAAGAGAAATCCTCTGTCAGTTGCCAAATGGAAGATTCATTTACGTCTTGTGGTACAATCAACACATTTGAATGTTCGTCATGTGAAACCACCAGAGAATAGGAATGAGGATTTAACTACTTTACAAGATTTTGTGTAAATAAGAACTATGTCAATTGTAATTACAAAAACAATATATATTTTTACAAGTTTATATGGTTTTAAAATGCCCTAAAAAGACAATATTACAATAAACCATTTAAAAAAAACACACCTTTTTTAATGGCCAGGTAAATGGTCATTTTACATCACATCATTTTCAGATAATCTGCACATTTTGTGTACTTTTTGGGAAGCTGTTGGAATGGAGAGCTATTTATGCCTTTATACCATAATCAGTAAGTCATATGAAACCTGACCAAATGTCAGTCAGTTCTAGAACGTTCCAGAACTCCATATAATTGGTTCTAGAGCTTCACTGGAACATCCACTTCAAGAACATGTCCGGGTCATTTTTCCTAACAAAATTAGAATAAAAAATAAAGAAAACCAGGCTTATATAGGACTATTAATATGTTTTGTATTATGACAGTCTTTCCATGAGATTTAAACACATTTCACTGCCAATTTTCATTACTGAAATGGAAATTAATTTCAATTGTACAGTACATGTACATTATGTAAAGTATACATCATAGTAATATGTTGCATTGAATGCAATATATGCTTATTTTAAAAAAAAGTGATTATTATTACTGTATTATCTCATGTTATTGTTGACTAAAACTATTATAAATAATTTTCATTATTTGAAATGAAGCTAAAATATAAATATCAGATGAAAAACTTACATTTAAAAAAAACTAAATGAAATTTTGTAATGTTGCTTTATTTTTAATGCTAAACTTTTTAAAAATGACAAACTGAAATAAAAAAAAAAATAGACAAAAAACTTAAAATAAAATTAGAATGAAAACGGAACATTTAAAAATAAAAAGCTAATTAAAATATGAACTAATAAAATATTAGAATAAAAACTTAAAGATAGAAATGTTGCCTTAACAAACTAAAATAAGTTTAAGTACTAAAATGACAAACTGGAAAAAAAATTAAAATAAAGCCAAACAGAATTTAAAAAATATATATAAAAATTGACAAACTCAGATAAAAAATTACAACAAATTTCAATGAAAATATAAAAATCTAAAAAATTAAAATATGAATTAATACTGTAACAGTACATAATACTAAAATAACACTGTAATGGGGTTAAAATGTAATCATGCAATTAGAATTTGAAGAGTAAATGTGTCACAATGCAAAACATCTTACTAGACCTAAAGCAGGCTTCATTTAAAATATAAGTTCTTTCTCTTCATTTGATTGTGGGGTGAAATATGACCTGGACATATCATATAACCCAAGAAGTAAACAAAATGTATTATATTCATAATCAACACCAACAATCACAAACATACTGTGTCGCCGTTTTAACGTGTGTCAGCGGTGTGTCGAGGCCTTTCAGTTTATCATGACCTTTTTACCAAGTAGTTGTAATGTTATGATCGGTTGTACAACTTGAATTTCTCTCATTAAATAAACACATTTAATGATCACACTATGACTCGCTTCTGTTTCCAAATGAGTATTTCATATGACTGTTGTAAATGCTCTGCACTCATTGGAGGATGTTGTGAAGTTTAAGTACTAAAATGACTAAAACTGGAAAAAAAATAAAAATAAAGCCAAACAGAATTTAAAAAATATATATAAAAATTGACAAACTCAGATAAAAAATTACAACAAATTTCAATGAAAATATAAAAATCTAAAAAATTAAAATATGAATTAATACTGTAACAGTACATAAATAATACTAAAATAACACTGTAATGGGGTTAAAATGTAATCATGCAATTAGAATTTGAAGAGTAAATGTGTCACAATGCAAAACATCTTACTAGACCTAAAGCAGGCTTCATTTAAAATATAAGTTCTTTCTCTTCATTTGATTGTGGGGTGAAATATGACCTGGACATATCATATAACCCAAGAAGTAAACAAAATGTATTATATTCATAATCAACACCAACAATCACAAACATACTGTGTCGCCGTTTTAACGTGTGTCAGCGGTGTGTCGAGGCCTTTCAGTTTATCATGACCTTTTTACCAAGTAGTTGTAATGTTATGATCGGTTGTACAACTTGAATTTCTCTCATTAAATAAACACATTTAATGATCACACTATGACTCGCTTCTGTTTCCAAATGAGTATTTCATATGACTGTTGTAAATGCTCTGCACTCATTGGAGGATGTTGTGCTTTCATTGGAGAACTCAAGCTGTCGTTGGTAACAGGTAGTGCTAGTCTGGGTAACTTATGTGCTGCTTTGAATATCTTGCCTTCAGTCAAAACCCATAAATAACAGCTGCTAAATAACTCAACCGCTCGGACTGATTTGCATTAAAGGAATAGTTCACCCAGAAATGAAAATGTGCTCACCCTCAGGCCATCCAAGATATAGATGTACAACAAATTTCAATGAAAATATAAAAATCTAAAAAATAAAAATATGAATTAATACTGTAACAGTACATAATACTAAAATAACACTGTAATGGGGTTAAAATGTAATCATGCAATTAGAATTTGAAGAGTAAATGTGTCACAATGCAAAACATCTTACTAGACCTAAAGCAGGCTTCATTTAAAATATAAGTTCTTTCTCTTCATTTGATTGTGGGGTGAAATATGACCTGGACATATCATATAACCCAAGAAGTAAACAAAATGTATTATATTCATAATCAACACCAACAATCACAAACATACTGTGTCGCCGTTTTAACGTGTGTCAGCGGTGTGTCGAGGCCTTTCAGTTTATCATGACCTTTTTACCAAGTAGTTGTAATGTTATGATCGGTTGTACAACTTGAATTTCTCTCATTAAATAAACACATTTAATGATCACACTATGACTCGCTTCTGTTTCCAAATGAGTATTTCATATGACTGTTGTAAATGCTCTGCACTCATTGGAGGATGTTGTGCTTTCATTGGAGAACTCAAGCTGTCGTTGGTAACAGGTAGTGCTAGTCTGGGTAACTTATGTGCTGCTTTGAATATCTTGCCTTCAGTCAAAACCCATAAATAACAGCTGCTAAATAACTCAACCGCTCGGACTGATTTGCATTAAAGGAATAGTTCACCCAGAAATGAAAATGTGCTCACCCTCAGGCCATCCAAGATATAGATGAGTTTGTTTCTTCATCAGATTTGTAGAAATGTAGCATTCCATCACTTGCTCAGCAATGGATCCTCTGCAGTGAATGGGTGCCGTCAGAATGAGAGTCCAAACAGCTGATAAAAACATCACAATAATCCACACCACTCCAGTCCATCAGTTAATGTCTTGAGAAGCCAAAAGCTGCGTGTTTGTAAGAAACAAATCCATCAAGACATTTTAAACTTGAAACCATCACTTCTGGCCATAAAACAAGTTCATAATCCATAATAACTCTTCCTCCAGTGAAAAAAGTCCATCTCCTGTTGTCTCTCACATCAAAATCCACCAGCATATTTGTTTAGAGCTGTTTTGGACTGTTTTGGCTTGTAAACGGTGCTTGATCTGTGCAGATTTCTCTCCTGATTCAGAACAGACTTTTCACTGAAAAAAGAAATATGTATTATGAACTCGTATTTTGGCCAGAGGTGATGGTTTCAAGTTTAAAACATCTTAATGATGGATTTGTTTCTTATAAACACAGCTTTTCACTTCACAAGACATTAACTGATGGACTGGAGTGGATTATTGTGATGTTTTTATCAGCTGTTTGGACTCTCATTCTGACGGCACCCATTCACTGCAGAGGATCCATTGCTGAGCAAGTGATGCAATGCTACATTTCTCCAAATCTGATGAAGAAACAAACTCATCTACATCTTGGATGACCTGAGGGTGAGCACATTATCAGCAAATTTTCATTTCTGGGTGAACTAATCCTCTAAGTTGAACGTGCATCGCCAAAAGATGCTTATGTCGCCTCTAATCATCAAGTGTCAAAAATCAACAAGCATGAGAAGAACATACTGAATGACATATTTCATTGTAAACATCCCAAATATTACATTTTACATTTTAAAGTCCTGCTCATTTATCACCCATAATGTTAAAACCTTCAGAGAATGTGTTTTTCTTCATTTCGTTATTTAAAATCGACCATCTGCCCGAGCACAAGAGCAGAGGGATTGTGGGTAATAACCATCTGGGGCATTTGTATTAAGATGCTTTCATTCTGGAAGGGTTGCAGACCGAAATCAGTATGTATTATTATGATAATGATGATTATTGCTTGACTGTATGGGCTGATTGTTTTGCTCGCTTCTCATTATGAATGTTCTTTACATGCCTGTCTTAAAAAATAAACGTATACATTTGAAAACAGACTTGTTTCATGATTTGTTTTATGGTTCTAAACACTATTCATGACAGTTCACTGATACAAATGAATATTTCGATACAAAATGATTCACAAAACTGTACATTGATAAGATCTTGACAGCTGTACTTCCTGGGGTCATCCTTTGGATTGGTCAGGAAATACAGCTGAGATTTTCTGCCTGAGTCCTGATAAACTGATTAATATGGCCTCCTGTATGAAAGATAAAAACACGTCATTACCTTCAATAATAAGTTAAGGTACGTTCACATCAAGAACTATATCTATATCACACGATAACATTCTGTTTATTATAAGCGTGCAGTTTTGTCGTCTGCCGCTTTAAATGCTCAAGCTCTTTCAAGTCAGGTGGATTCTGATTGGCTGTCAATGTTTTTATTGTCCATCAGTTGGAAAAAAATCGTTCTGAAAGTGATATTTTTCCTCTGTTATCATTATAGTAAAATATGCAATACATGTACATTATGTAAAGTATACATCATAGTACTTGCTGCACTGACTGTTGTATATGCTGATTTGGAAAAAAATTATAATAATAATAAAAATAATATATATATATTTTTTTCATATATATATACATATACATATTGTGATTTTAATTAATATATTATCTAATTATGCTGGAAAAAATGTTCATTAATTGAAATAAAGCTGAAATAAAATAAAATAGTAAAAAATAAACAAATTAAAATTAGAAATGTTGCCTTAAAAACTAACTAAAATAAAAAAAAGTTCAAGTAGAAGTAATAGAATGATTAAAAAAAGCTGAAAGAAAAAATAAAAAGAATAAAGCACATTATTAAAAGCACTATTTAAGTAAACTTAAATGAACATGTAAACTGAAAATATAAAAATAAAAGGTAATTTAAAATATGAATAATTACTATAATAGTATATAAATAATGCTAAAATAATGGGATTTAATTATATAATTAGAATTTAGAGGGTGAAAATGTCACAATGCAAAACATCTTACTGGACCTAAAACAGTCTTCATGTAAAATATCATTTTAATGTCGATTTTTCTTTTAATTGTGGGGTTTAACCCATAAAAATCTACTATATTCATAATCGACACCAAACAATCACAAACTTTAGCTGTTTTTATGCTCATAGAATTTTATTCTCATAGTGATTTTCAAAACTTTATAGTTATAATTATCGTCCTTGGTGTGAATGGCCTTTAAACAAGAAAGAGAGCATGAACTTTGTCCAAAAAAGGTTTCTAGGGGAAAAATATTTGA